ATGGTAATTTGAGTCATTATTAATCATTATAGAGAGCCATGAATGAGGGTGATTAGTTTCTTTACACTATTTCGGGTCATAGCTCGAAGGAGTGGATTTGGTTGCCCTAATCGCCTAATTTGGTAGTGTGGTATGCCCCTGACTCGCTAAAACACAACTCCTAACAATGGCCAAGTGTAACCAATGAAAGAGACTGTAATATAGTGGCACAATTAATAAATATCGAATTCTCGGGTTTCTAGATGTACTATTACTCAGCTTCAATTCATTATCTAGCAAATCAGATTGGGGTTTGATTAACTAGACTCTACAAGCTAAACCAGGTTGACTACTAATTACAAGTTGGGAACTCACTTAGGTATAATTCCCCCTAGTCTGTAGTTAGGCCAAGTTTTAATTCACCCAATTCAATTCAGCTGACATTTACACGGCAAAAAGTTCTCAAATAGTTTGGAGTCTCGACTAAAGTGCTCTAGATTCTTTGAATTTGAATAGCCGGGGGAGGACTAACCTCCACCGTGAAGCTAATCAAAGCAATAACACAACAAACTTCCACCTATTTTCTACACCAGTACAAAGCAGTAAATCGGTCCTTGACTAAAGTAATCTATCCACTACTTCCAATTAAGGATAATATATCAACCTATGCAGAGACTATCGTTCTAGGTCAAAGCAGGAATCACAAGAATTTGATCAGGACTCAAGAAACTCTGAATCAATGCCTCAAGTTAATATAAAACGTCAATCAATCATAATTTCGAGTTCATACAACGTAAATCTTCCTAGCATACAAATCTAGGGTTCCTAAAAACCTAAGTGAAGGGAAGTTACTTCATAGAGAAGAGAGAGAATGCATAAATATGATCTAGATCTTCAATCTCCATCTCCAAGCTTGTTTCCTAAGCTCCAATGGAGAAGAAATCCTCCAAAATAGCTCCAAGAATGTTTCCAAGCTTCTCTCTCTTGGGTGTTTGGAATTCAAAACCCAGCTGCTCTCCCTCCAAAAACGCATAAAACGAGCCTTTATACCCGCTACCGACACGTTCCACGATGGTGGAAGAGGTTCACCAAATTGTGGATTTCTCCTTATCAAAAAGCACGGTCTGAACTTCTAATCCACTGTTGTGGAATTGGCTTCCAATCGGTGGAAATCATTGCTCTGATTCCCTTGTTTGAATGTCTCGTTTCTCCCTCATCCGGACTCCGAATTAGTCACCGTTTGATCCTAGACGCTGGTAGTCTTGTCATATTTCTTTTCATGACAAGAATACATGATTATTTATCCATAAAATAAGGTATAAATCCATTCTTCCTCAGGTCATGCATGAGTTTCTTCCCTCCAGTCGCCAATTGATATCTGATTGACTTGAAACTTGCGTCTATGCTTCACTTTACGTGCTAGGAACTGAAATGTGACAAACGAACACAACCTAGCGTAAAATAGGTCAAAGTATGATAAATACCAAGCTAAGAAAATATGAAATGAGGGGTAAAACATGTGTAAATATGTAGTCATCAGCCCATCAAATAAAGGGGCCTAACTATATTTGATCTCCTAATGGTATATATATCATGAAAAATACACTAGAGTATCACATTTTCATCTCAACACGGGACTTAGGGGATAATCATCTGAGTAAAGCCGTTCTCACTTGAATTAAACCTCGCTTTAGTTGTTTCTTTGCTTAGTTTGATAGTTTTAAACAATGTTCATATCACCAGATAACTTATGTTTTACTAAAGTAAGGGTAGACGAATAGCCCGCGTTTGATAATTGTAAATATACTTGCTCTATACTACACCCCTCGTAAGATTATACTTAGCCTACGGTGGGAGTGTGTAATAAGTCACGAGTCAGAAATCGAGTCAATTAATATAGGAACAAGAAATGGGGGAACGTTTACAGTGTGCAAGATAGGGTTTTATAGGAGGTGATGGGAAATCTTAAAGACCAAAGTGATGTTTCGAATTCCAATTATTAGTTCTCATTTCCCGATGATTAACATGTCTCAAAGAGCGGGTTCTTCAAATACGGACTAAAGAACAACGGTCATGTGTGAACGACCATAGCCTTAAAGCACTCGTAAAAGAACAAAATCATAAGGCAAGACTACGAAGCAGAATGCCCTTATGTGATTCTCTATGATTTTTTATGGCCAAGGACAGAGGAGAGGACTTGAGCCATGATTCAAGACCACTCAACACATGTAACTTGATTATAGCCGCCAAAATCCACAACCTTTTCCACCTAAAGAGCAAATTTTAGGCTAAGTGTTGAACTTAAATGGGCCTCAAGTCCCATAACAGTCCAAACCCGCCAGAAACACCAAGCCCAGCCGTCTAGGACTGCTTGCCATGTGGACGACATGACAATCTAACAACCATTTATTTTGGCTGAACATGTTCTACGCAGATAAGACAACCACTAGGCCACCTGACATAAAGTACCTAGTCGATATCACATCGACGTCGAAGCAGGAGGTTTCTCTGGAGTATGGATCTCGAATATGTGTGTGACCGTGCATTTAACCTCGTCGGAGGCGGCCAAATAGCAGATGGTCCATGAAATAGGTCTCCTGACGCCGCATTTAATGTTGGAACCCTTATAGGATCGAGTATGAATATCCCTCGATGGCATTAATGGTAAGTCAACTAATCCATCTCTCACTAAATCAAATCTATCATCTCTCTTACTAACTTAAGGATTAGAGAGTGTCTCAGGAAAATGCCTGAGGACCTTTTTGTAGGATTCCAAAGGACACATTCTAGAGTCTACGAAGCATCTACATGGGTCTCTCATGTACCTTATTAGCTTCCTGGTTGTGCCTTCCAAAACCTCCTAGCAACATTCCCGACTCAAACAGATAGTTTATTTATTAATTGAGCCCAAACAAGAGAGAGAGAGAGTATTAACTATTAGGCAATAGTATTTTAGGGGTCATTAGTATGAGTCATTTACAAAATGAATCATTTGCTCAAATACAACCAATTGAGAAATGTAGATATTTGTAAATGTATTGTTTGTTTGAAAAGTTTTAGATGAGTCATTCTTAAATGAGTCATTTGTATATTGTTATCATTTTGCCCTTATGTATAATGTGTTTCATTATCTTGTTTCCTATCATAATAAAACCAATCACGTACCACAAGATTATTTTGCAACCAACAAGACATATTATTACGAGCTATGTACAATACTAGTTTTTTTTTATTTTAAATAATAATTTTACGTTAAATTTCTTTAACAGATCTAGTCTCAAATTTATACCAATTACAAAGAGTAATGTGAAGTCCTGCTAATACTGATGTTTGTTAACGGAAAAGATGTGTTGTTGAGTAGATGACTTGCGAGAGGGTGACGTCGATCTGGGTTGGTATGCGTCGGTTAGGCTTACAACAATGGAGAACAGAGTTCCCATGCTTGGGTACATTTGCAAGTCATTCATGAAGGTTGTTGCTCGGGTGACATGATGAGGCGGAGCGAAGAGAGCTTGATGGAGACAAAGCAATGACATGTGAAAGAAATAATAGGAAAAGTATAGAAGTGGATTTGTGAAAAAGTGGTAAAGACATAATTGAAATGTTTGGCTAAATAGTAAGTCATTTTATGAATAGAAGGCATTTGAAAATGGCTCGACAGAGTCATTTCAGACTTTCGTATGAACAAAATAACTCATGTACTCTTTCGTCAACAAAAGATGGACTCATATAAATGCCAAGCAAATGACCCCTGCTTAGGGGTGGTAAATGGTTAGTATGGATAACCGAACCGATTACGACGGTTAATGGTTTATCGATAATCGCTAGTTTATTAGTGGTTTGGTTTCGGTTAGTTGTATTTTGCTTAGTGATTAACCAATAAGAAAATCGATAACCGCCTACTAGTATAATCACATAGTTTCGGTCTTTGGCTATGAAAAAAAGTTTGAAGGTTCAAAACCAAGCAAAGTCATAATTCTAAACATTTCAATTTCCACTTATTGCCAACAATCTTCCATCCAAAATCTTAAATGTGTTGAAGAGTCAGAACCCAAAATTCATCCTCTCTGCCTCCCGTTTGCAATCGACAGAGCGAACATGACACCCTAGTAGAGTAGTAGTCTTTGTTTCTATAATGTTTATGGATGATGATGATCTTATGTTTCTTGTGTTTGATGTCTTGGTAGTTGGTATTTACTAGTCATTTGATTATTTTTAATCTTATGTGTTGCAGTTTGGATTTGAATTATGAATTCACGATGGATGTTATATTGATGTTATTTCTTATCATTAGTATTTTATGTTAATAATGTAGAAGTGTAGTTAAATTGTTTACATGTGGTGATTTATAGATTAAATGACACTTATTAAAATTAAATGGATGATGATTTGTGCATTGCAAGTGGTTATTGTTTCGCTTTATTATATTTTGTGAAAGAAAATAGAAGTTATTTGTTTGATTTGATATATTCATACTTGTTGAAACGTATGTTTTTGGTTATTGACTGGAGCACTTCTACTATGCTATATAGCATTGGTGCTTTAATGTACAACTTGAAGTTGTACCATAACATTAAATGTATAAGTTTAGGTTGTACCATAAAGGAATTTGTATCATTATGTTATGGTACAACTTTACAACTTGAAGTTGTATCATCACATAAGGTACAAGTTTAAGTTGTACCATAAAAGAATTTGTACAAAAAAGTATAGGTATAATATGAAGTTGTACCATAACGTTAAATGTACAATTTCAAGTTGTACCATAAAGGCAAAAACCTATAGCACCAATGCTATATAACATTGTAAAATTCATCATTGACTTATTGGTTAACCGCCAAACTAACTGCTAATCGAATACGATAAGAGACGGTTAAATAATAAGGCATATCGATAAGATTATCGACATGAGTTTTTGCTTATTACTAAATCACTAACCATCGTATCGATAGTTAAACGACATCAAACCAATTACCACCCCCTACCCTGCTCTTGTGTCTGGTTTGTTAGATCAAAGTTCAATTGGAGCCTCGCTCTATGGCCAACTTTTCCCAAACGACTACCGTCAGGATTGGCCGCCGCAGAAAAAGACAAAACTTCCATACCGCAAATTCTTTGCACTCCACTCCCATTCTAATTTATTGATACTTGAAAATCCAATCTATCGGATTTCTCCATCTATTCATCCTTACTCCCTTCGTCACCATCCACCTCCACACTCCACCGCCATGTCAACCCAACCGCCGCCGCCCCTGCCGCTCGACTTCTCCGCCGTCTTATCCGAATCGAAGCGCATAATCAACGCCCACTCCCGCCACTTCCTGGCCCTCTCCGTCCTATTCCTCCTCCCTCTCTCCTTCTCCGTCACCGTCTTCTCCACCATCCACAACCTCCTCCTCCACCATCACTCCGGCCACCGCCCCAAATCCCTCCTCTCCCGTCCGCCGCCGCTCCTCCCCAGCCTCGCCCAATTGAACTCCCAATCCTCCGATCAGTTCAATTTCCCCCGCCGCCACCACCACCACCACCACCACGATGACGACGACCTCCAACTCCCAATCGAAACCCTTGCCCTCGTGGCCTGCTTCGCCCTCTTCTTCTTCGTCTTCACTATCCTCGCAATCGGCTCCATCAGTTACAGCGTCCTCCACGGATTCTATGGCCGACCCGTCAAGTTCGTCTCCGCCATCAAATCCGGGTTGACTTCCTTCTTCCGTCTCTTCATCACCCACATCGTCGTCGAGCTCCTGCTTTCCCTGGTGGCGCTTCTCTTCCTCTGCTCATTCTACTTCGTAATCAAGGGTTTGGACTTGGTGTGTCTCGAAATCGACACCGATTCTCCCTACTTCCTAGCACTGGCCGTCGTCTACTCCGTCGTCCTGCTCGCCGTTCTCCTCTATTTCAAAGTAAATTGGTCTATCTCCTCCGTGATCGTCGTGGCGGAATCCAGCTGGGGAGTTCCAGCATTGAGGCGCAGCGGGTATTTGGTGAAAGGGATGCGGCGAGCGGTTCTCTACTTCTTCCTCTCGTTTGGACTCATCTCCGGGATATTGACTTGGACCAGCTCGATTGCAACCGCGAAATTGGGCGGCGACGCCCTTGGCGGCAGCCAAGGGTGGAATAGCTGGTTCTTTGTGGCTCAGATTGTGGTGACTTCCGCTCTTTTGACTCTGATTTTGCTCTACTTCTTCGCTGCGCAGACGGTTCTGTATATGTACTGCAAGGCTGTTCGCGGGGAGCTTGCTTCAGAGATTGCGCAGGAATTCGCGAGGGAGTATGTCTGCTTGCCTTTCGATGATGAAAAGGTGCCTCATCTTGTTTCTGTTGTCTACACTTGATAAGAAAGAACGAGCAATTTCCCCCTGTTTCTGTTTCTGTGCCTGTCCTTGTGTTTGTGTAACAAAGACGGTTTCTTCATTTTGTAACTCAGAACCATGGATCTTGTGAATAATAGTACGTTATGACTGAAGTTTACTGATGGAATCGTTTGTTGAGTTTGCTTTTATTATGCTGGCTTGATTATGGGTTTGTGTCTGGGTATTTACGTTGCTGTAATGTACTAGATATAAGATCAAAGGAAATGAAGGTCATTTTCACATTGGAACTATCAGTGGAGTTAATGGGTCATTTACGTTGATTTTTATGATGTAATGGTGAGACCATGGATTAAGGCATTTAAGCTCTAGTCCTATGCTGCGGTGGCCATTCATAAGAATGCAGCTGAACATTATGAGCACTACACATATCCTCAGTTCCCAGTTAGGGAAAGCTGTTCTTGCAAACTCATTGAGAGAGAGAGAGAGAGAGAGAGAGAGAGAGAGAGCGGGAGAGAGAGAGAGAGAGAGAGAGAGAGAGAGAGAGAGAGAGAAGAGCACAATAACTTGTACAGAATGAGCTCAATTGGCATTTGTTCTTCCATCTTGAACCACCACCCGCCTTCTGAATCCAGAAGCCAAACTACAAATATATATCAATAAGCTAAGTGAATTGGCCAACTACCCAGGTATCACTTTGGCCGAAGAATGAAAGAATTGTTTAAATGAATGAGCGAGACCGGCAAACAAAAACGAAAGCTTAAAGCTTTCCACTATAAGTTTGGCTCGATGATGGTGCTGCTGCTTTCAGTCTCATAATCCCTTCATCCTGATTCGCCTGGAAGAGAAGATTGCTCCAGTTAGTCGATCTCTGCACAATCCTGGTAGGAACCCTATCACTATCTTCACCACCAGAAGCTTCATACCCATCACTAGTAGATCTCGAGAGAGGGAATCCACTGTTAGAACCACCCACAATTGGAAGGAGACCAGTGAGTCTCCTTGAATCTTCAGCTCCTGATGAAGAAACCCGAAATGGGTGAATATCTGGCGAGTCTAAGCTACTGCTTTCAGGAGATGATGCAGCAACAACGCCTACGGAGCTTGCCAACGTTGAACCTCTACTTGGCTGGAAAGCACTCCTAGCCTCGAACTGAAGTGGGGCCAAACTTGAGGAAGAAGTTCCCGTGAAAACTTCCCCTGCTGAGACCCCAACAGCAGTTACAGGCTGCTCCATTGGCAAATCAGCTGGGAGTCTTACCCTTTTGCTAACTCGTCTTCTGTTGTCAAGTCTAGAGACCATTCGGCCCCCACTGCTTCCAAAGCTGTTATCTCTCGCTAGCGAGAATGATGGTTCCTGTCTTATCACAGGTTGTAGGATTTTGGACTTCTTTCTGGCATCAGCAGCAGCTTTTGAGACCTCATCAGCATTCAGTTTAGCCAATGTCCAAGGACTGATCTTTACGGCAGCTGGGTTTTTTTTCTTCGTTGGGTCTTCTCTGATCGCTTTTTTACCATAGGAACTTACGGATCCAGTGTCCGGTGGAATAACATCAAACTGAGAATAGTGATCAGCAGAATTCAGAAAGGTCTGAAAGATTGAGATTCTCCACTTGCATTTCGAACTAACAGGAAAATGTGAACAGACATCATGTTGCCTAAGGTTACCTGGTCTTCAAGAAACAGTCGAGGTGGTGTACACCAGGCACCACGGTGGAATGTCGAGAAGGAGCTGGCACTACTTAGTCCAGTAAGTGAGCTGACTTGCGACATTTGAGGACTCTGCTGACCTCCGACTCCTTGCTGCTCTTGTTCCTGCTCCCTTAGAGCTATTATGTAATCATAAGTGCTGATTCCCTGAGGCATCAGGATTACTAATGTTAATCAGTCATCAGCTTGTTGACATTTCTACTAAAATGGGACTTAGTTTATCAGAACTGCATTCTAAGCTCAAAGTGAGCCTAGTGAACCTTTTTTACGAGCAAGATGTGGAAGAAGAACAGTTGGGCCAGGGGCAGAGTTGCAAACATGGCCAAAATGGTGCACAATGCCTGCAAAAGCAAATGTGAATCATATGCTAATGAAGTGGCGAGATGGGAATTTGTTAGTAATTAGTAATAATCAGGTGGTTTGAATTCAAGTTAGCAATAGAAATGATTAGCAAGCAAACTCACCACTACCATCACAAAGGGCACCATAGAGAAACTGCTACCCAACTTGGATGAGATATCCATGACAAATCGTTTCTTCTCGACGAAACAGCAAATAAGTACAAGAATCCCAGTTGCCCATTGGAATATAAGCTGTAAATCTCAAGCCCAAGGAGCAGAAACCATGTACATAACCTGTTAAGAATACAACAAAACTGAAACTGACTTGGAAGATAAGGCTTCTGTAGATCCGGCACTTACCAAGAGGAGAGCAGAGACCATGAGCGTGAAGAACTTTCTGTAGTTCTTCTTGCCTATACAATTATTAATCCACTGCAAAAACCAATGCCCTCAAATGAGTTAGTGAGACAAAGTTCAAAGCTTTTTCAAACAATTAAGAACCTTGTATTACCCTGCAGTGATGGTCAAACCGGTCAACACATTTATTGCAAACTCTACAATGCTTGCTGTACTTGAAAACCTGGCAGAAAACCGTAATTCAATAATAAGATATCTCAATAAATCTTCCAAGAACTGAGATAAAGAATAATTACCAACCTCAACTTCACACAAACTGCAATAGAACATGCCATCTTCACTCAACTGCTCAGAGTGTTTATCACTTGGAATGCACCTACCACATATGAAAGCAAAAGGAGAGAGAGCCAACAACAAACAAGAAGACTTTGCCTTGGTCTCATTCTTCAAGTCTGTTACAGCTGCAGCTGCATTTGCACCCTCCCCCACACCCTTCTCAACTGACTTCCCTCCAATGGTGGATGAATTCCCGTCCTGCATTGATGAGGCTGATTCCGTACCTTGTTTCAGGGCTTTATGCTGAGGATGTTTCTCATTCTCTGGAATTTTAAGGTACTTTTTGGATCTGAAAACTCCACGATCTGCAGGATCAGATGCTGCACACCAAATATATAGGCCGAAGACACACATGATCTGGAAAGGGAAACAGATGATGTTAAAATACATGGCCTGATTCCAAGGACATTTAAGGAGCAACCACCATTAGCTTGTAAGTGGGAAATTGAGCTAACCAGAGATTATGGAACAGTTGCTATGTAAGTTCATTCAGAAGTCAGTGAAAAGTGACAGCTAAGCAGACCATTAATCCCCCTTGTCAATTACCAAAACAGAGATGAGAAAGTAGAGAAAGGTTACACACTGGACTAATCTAATCCAAGAGATGAAAACTTGGAGTAAAACAATAGTATTCCAAGCAATGTAAGGAACCATCGCCAACACTAAGCCACCAAACAAACTGAAGCAACCCTAAATCAAAAACCAGAATTAGTCACCCAATTCCTCGAATTTCTGCTCTCTTGAGCTCCTTCATGTTGACTGATTGGTACGTCTCAGAACATAGTTAATTAGAGAATCCAATGAATTCAGACCAAATATCAACAGTGTGATTAGGACTCAGAAGCTCCAACCCCATAGCCATTCATTAGATGGAAATTCAAAAATAGACAGATTGGAACAACAAGGTGAATAAAGAAAGAGACAACAAGAAAAAGACAGACATGGATGTAAAAAGAGACAAATCAGGAAAAATTATCCACTGATAGTATAGATCTCAGCAAAGCAATCTTGCAGGAGGAAAGGAAACAAAATGGAGAGGGGGAAAGCGGGAATGGGATTTTACCAGAGGGGTGTAGATTCCCATTGCAATGTATTGAAACATATTCCTCCCCACAAAAGGAGCAAAAAATACGTAGAATGCGAAACCCATAGCCAGAAACACAGCAACAGCCACCACCTACACCAAAAAGAAGTAAAATTTTCAGAACACTCGGGATTTCAACAAATATGCCACCTTTTTGAACACAAGTTGCACAATTTTCAGTTAAAAAGGAGATACCTGAAGTGGGTGATATGGAAGTTGCCAACCATGCCTCCTCATCTTTAGCCCAAAAATGCAGAAAGGGGGAAAGGAAGAAATTTCCCTACTTGGGGAAAGGAATGTTGAGAAAGAAGGAACCAACTCTGCTCTGGGGTTTTGTTCTTCTTCTCAATCACTTCCCTTTCCTTCCCTTTCCCTCATTTTCATTGAAGACAAACACTATTCCAGTCATTCCACCGCATTGCGCACCAACCAAACAAGAAAAGGGCAAGAAACAAAGCAAGGGGAAAAGATAAGGAATAAGGGAGGGGAGAGGAGTTGGTGGAGGAGGAATGATGGGCAATGAGGGTGAAAAAGAAACAAGCTTTGTTGTCTGGTTTCAATTAATCACTGGAATCAATATCCACTCCTACGCCGCGGGAGATGTAATATATGTAAAAATATTTTCATTATTCAAGACGAACTCACCATTATAATGATGATTTACAGAGCATTAGTCTAAATATCTTCAAGAAATACATTTGTAGCAATGTTTAGTAATGTTCAAGAAAAATATTGCAATTAAAACTTCAATAAGGAAAGTACAACAAACTTTTGCCAAAGGCTCTACGGTTGATAAAAAAAATCAGAAACACTACCACAACATCTAATATTTTCATTTAGGCTTTATAGAGAAATGTAGTTGAACGCGCACACGTGCCCCAATAAGTCACGTTGTGCTGACAAACCCACTCCCTTTTGAATTGGTTTCGAGAATTCCCTGAACTGATCTGTACATGTTTTTGGACTGCATAACTTAAAAATTGCAGCGCTCAGTATTTACCCTGCTCCCCATGCTCGCATAGCCTCATCTCAGAGCTACCAGCCACTCTTTTCATGTCCTTCTGCCTACTTTATTTGCTGTCATTAGCCGCCTTGCAATTGAGTAGCAAATCATGTAGGACATGGCACCGATTGTATACTTCCCCTCGAAGATCCTCCTATTCCTCTCCTTCCACATACACCAGTATATAGCATGAAGAAGACTTAGAAATTAAAGCTTATTCTTGCTTTGCAATTTCATGTTCAAGGTCTGTAAATTCTGCTATGGATTTCTTCTCCTTCGCTTCTTTCTTTGGTTTGTTCTTCTTTCATCCTATATACATCAGCAGCTGCATTGCAAAATTGTAGAATTAGAGCCAAGGAATAAAAAACGCTGCATAAAAAACAAAACAAAAAAAAAGCTAAGAAGAGAAGGATTCCGGTCATGCACAAAAAGTCCCCAAGTTTCATCTCTAAGTTCTCACATAAATCAATCAACAAAAAATAAAAGAGAGCAACAATAGCTGAATGTGGTTGACTATGGCGATCCATAGTGCAGAGAGCAACAATTACCGATACCAACTCGCAACTTGTAATTGAAAGTTTAAAATATGATCAGTTTCTAATTTTTAGCGAAACATCAAAGAAAATTATGAAGAATATGTAGCATAAATAAATACTAGTTGGTGATAGTTTCTTCTCTTAGTAAAGCTTGAATCACCATCTTGAGAAACAAAACAATATGTGAAAAACAGCAAGCATAAAGCAACCATGACAATTTGGGAGAAGGAGAAGATTCAACTGGTGCATTCAATTGCAGCAGCCTCTGTAGTTATCAACTATTGTTAGTTGTTGCAGTGGAACTCCACCTGCAGGAGGTGATGGAGAGGGTTAGAAGCTAAGTGAGAACATAGGAAGGTAAGAATTAAAACCTAACAGCAACCGCCAACAGCCTAGATATAATTAGTAAACATTTATAAAGTAACATAAACAAACCATATAATATAACCAAGTTTCTAATGGAAAAGAACTAATGCAAGGCAAGAAATGGTAGGATTGAAAAGGAAAGGTTGACTGGGAATATAGTGGAAATAGATATGTACGTTTAATTATGTATTGAACAATAATGATGCACACTGAGTATAGGAAATCTTGGTAGATGCTAGGTAGCTTAGCTCTATAAAGTCATGGGGGAAAAAAGTTGGCTAGTAGTTTTAGCTCAGTTGGGCTGCTGCAATATTGATAGATCACAAACACAAACTAAAGGAGTAAGTAGTAGCATTATAACAGAATTACCTATCAAAAGAAAGAAGCAAAAACAGGATGGAATTATTTTGGGTCACGATAGCATCAATCCAAGGGTATATGATTTTAGCTTCTCTCCAAGTTGTAAGCAATTCATCATTGCCATTCTACGGTAACTACATGGCCACAAAGGTATTTATTTAACCCATTGAATCTTGATAAGTATTTAGCTAAACTACTAAGGTCGATGAAGTGTACATTATATAAAAAATACCTAGAGAAGCTTACTAATGTGAGCAAGGCCATGAACACATTAGTAAGCTTGCATATGTTGTTTCCTCTCATCTGATCAAAGTTTGGAGTACCAAAAGAGACAGTAGAGAAGATATCTCTCCACAACAACAGTTAAAAGCTGGAAAACAGATTATAATTCGACAAATTTTCGCTGCTAAATCACTCAGAGCATACATGATTTTGATTAACCTGGTCAAGAAACGAAACTGGTGGCGAGGTGTGTTTTTCGCGTCTCGTACAAACATCTTCAATGCACTGGTAGAAATACCTGGAAGAAACATATCCAAATCGATACCAATTATTAAACATGACAGAAAAATGGATAGAACACGAATAGATGCATTATACTGGTAACTCAACTTGAGATATAGTGGAATTGTTGTAGTTGCGGGCCTTAGAGACGCTGATGAATGATTGTCGATTTTAATTCGATGTTCGAACTCCGCTATATCCAAATGGTCCTGCGTTAATACCTCAGCAACTCTGCTTCCTCAACCTCTGGTTTGGGTTGACATGATCTGTCAAACTAATCATTAGAAGGGAATCTGAATCCAACAAAGGAAAACCTGAAGAAGCAACTTTAATGGAGATCACCCTTACTGGTAAAAGCAAATCAACCATGAACCATGCATAATAGAAACATAAGCATTAATATCAAAGCTTGTTGGCACCAACTGTGTCCTTCACTTTGTTGAATGCATGGGAAGCAAACTAAACTAATCTATAATCCAACCAAAGCTCACATGTCAAGCCAATAATTCTGTCAAAACTAGAAACAACTAATACATATAAAGAATATTCAACCCTCACCCCACGTTCATGTGTACCCAAACACCACAAATCTTCTGGCGTCCATCTAATCCAAGTTTTGTGAATCCTTATTGTCGTTTTATGGTTAATTATCTAAATTAACCTCCATTATTATTCAATAAAACAGAGAACTCCATTATTAATCACAATCGAGCAATTTATAATAATGTACCTACTGACTAAAGAATCAAAAGCATTGTAATGATGCAATAGTAGAGCTGATAGCACCAAACCAAGATGAACACACAGTGAAAGACCTTGCTTATATTATGTGAATCCAATGAACTTTTCGTTCATTCCCGCCACAGCGAGATGTGGAAATGACTCAATAACAAACTACACACAGGACAAAGTATCAATCAGATGCAATCTTTGAAATCAGAACAGCAAGTGAAAGCAGAATCCTCTTAATTCATTTAAAGAAGCAGTAAGAAGTAAGAACACTACATCCCCTTTGTGTTTGCACTTACCAAAAGCAAAACCCTTAGCCAACCTGTACAAATCCAATTTGTTTTAAGAATAAAGTAGCTCACATTCCAATAGAAAAAGGGTGATTACCTAACACATTCAAATCCAACATCAGAATTATGTGGCACACACAGGAAGGAAGGAAGAAGAAAGAAAGCAGAGAACTAACCCGTCAATCTTGACCCTACCTCCTCCCCCACGCCGACCATCTTCGACGGCTCCTTCTCCCCACTGGAATCAGCACAGGTACCTCCATTACCTTCTCGACCTTGCTCATAGGGAACTTGTTTGGTCATGGGATTAAATAAAAAGAAAGAAAATAGAAGAGTAGAAGGAAGAAGAAGCGAAGGAAAGTGGAGAACTAACCCGAACAAATCTACATCTGGCTCCTTCAATCCCAGCCTGACCCTCACATCCTGAACCCAAACGTCGCCTGCTCTCCTTTTACTCCGCCTCCTCACCTCCTTCTATTGATGCCGACTACATCATTCAGCTGTGCAGCAGCCTCGCTGTTCCTCTGCCTTTGCCGCTAATGATTCTCCTTTCTGAAAACAGAGTATGAGATGGCAATACACTCCTTTCCCTCCTCCTCCCAATTGACTCTCACTCCTCTCCCAATATACTGATTGAAAAATGAGACTCAACGGCAGAAGAGAGATACGGGAGAACGACGTGCTAACATGGGAGGTGGCGTGTGAGAGGAGCTGCATCCTCGAGAAGCAAACCGGAGTCGTGACATGATGGCGTAAGGCGTGGCCTTCTGGATTTTCTGACTGAAGGTGAAGGCATGGCTGGGAGTACGACTGGCTGGGTAGGGTGGAAGGGGATTAGGGGAAGCTTTGGGCAAGCAAGAGAGAAGCTTTCCGAGGAGGAGGCACAGAAGACGACAGAAAGTGAAACAGTAGCTACAAATTTGGGCAATAAAGTGTACCCACGTTTCATATATAAAAGAATTCTGCTTCATTAGCTCATGGAATGTGAATAGAGAAGGATGGAGGGGAGAAGGGAAAGGACGACCCACAACTAAATGGATTTTTTTAGAAATATCACGATTAATTTTTTTTATATAAAAATACCACTCAACTTGGAAAAATTTCACAAATACCATCATTTCTTAAAAAGTGTCACATGGGGAGACGGTTTGGCTGACCTAGAACAGACTGCTTGTTGATAGAGCGGTTCTACGTCGAAAATAGAAACCGCTTATCTAACAAGCGGTTTATGTTGTCGACACACAAACCGCTGGGGGGTGCAGTTTATGTATAGTCCCCATTCCGTCGACATGTCGGCATGCAGGGGGCTACAGGCGTGGGTTTGCGTGTCTGGTGCAAACTTTTCACTTGACATTTTGTCTATAAAAGGCAGCCCCGGAAACACTTCACCCATCTTCCTATTCTTCTTTAAGTTTCTGTTTTGAGATTTGTGTTTTGAGTTTTAGCGATTAACGTTATTTTGTAAGTTTGTTTTGTATTACTTTTTATCGTAAATTTGTTTTGCAATTAACGTTGACAAATTTTATAGTATTAATTTGATTACTGTTTTTATTGCAGATGTTATTCCAAAAGTTCACGCTTGGATTACGTTGGAATGGTTACATGAAAGAGATCGAAAAGGGGTTACGTCGATAGTAATTTTCATAAGGTGAAGGTCGCTAGGAGACCGAAACTTGAAGAGCTCCATCAAATTCGTACTGAGGTTACTTGCTTGGGTGACACGAGAAAAGTTGATCGTATGGTGTATCGATATCCAATAGACAAGGCGGGTCGTTGTAGCATGAGGAATTCCTCATAACCACTCAGGCGGAAGTAGATGCCATGTACCTTGTGATCGTTCCAAACATCACTTGAACGATGGTTAGGTTGGTTGTATAGCACAGATCGATCAATCGGTCCTTGATCAACATAATATCTTTGATTGTATATATCCACGTCCTCCCTAACCTACGATAGCATAACAACAACATAAATTAATTAGTATATAGATCAAATAAAAAAAAATTATAACAACAACAAAAATTTGGTAAAATGAGTATGTACCGCTTGATAGTCATCATAATAAATATCCTCTTCTTCAGAAAAAATCAACAATTTTTTCAAGAAGCTGTACAGAGATTCGACGAGTTTTGAAGGAAAAACCAAGAAATGTTTTCTGATGGTAGTTCGGACTTAGCCGCAACCAAAAACCCACTATTTCTTAGGTTTTCGGCGTGAAGAATGGATAGAGAGATAATCTCAGAGAGAGAAGAGTGGGTTTTGGTGTGAAGAATCAAGGAGAGGGGGTGTACCTCCTCTTTCAAAGCTCCTCTATCTTCTCTTCTTCGTTGGCCGTATATTGAATTCCCTAGGCCCGCTCAACTTCACTCTTCGCCACTAAATTGACAGCGGCAGCGGGGAGCAATTCATCATCTCCTTCGAATTCCATACCCCAAAGCTTGCAAGTTGAAGAGGTATCATGTAATCTCTTCCCTTACTTCTTTCCTTCCATTTTTGGTCAACTCTCCCTATTCCAAGATTTAATGCCACTTTCTTTCCTCTTTCTGTAGTTTAGGGTAGTCTAGCATCGATTTCGTGCATTAATTTTGAAAAGTGATTTAAATTTTGGATTCAGGATGTTTTTATGGTTTGAATCTGAATAAATAAGGGGGTTTTAGTTTTGACAGAATTCGATATTCCTTCTTTCAATGATTAGGTTTTCAATATCTATGGGATTCCTCTCACCTTTGGAGATTGTTTACTTTTTCGTTTCATTTCTTTTCTTCATTATTGAATTCAAATTAGACGGATAGAGGGGATTCGTGACTCGTCCCGAATATCACAATTAATTCCCGCCTAACGTCCAAGTATAAACCTTAGTAGGGTGCAATACATGGCAAGTATGTTTAAATATCGACTCGGGCCGGTCCGTGTACCCCTACTTCAATTGTTTGAAACATTATCTAGCGAATCGGATTTGGTTGAAAGGATTGCTAATCAAAGTTAAGCAAGGCAAAAGTAAGCGGTTTTGAAAGCTCAATGTGAGAAGGATCACTCGGGTGTCGCTTCCCCCTAACTACTGCCACGAGGAATTGAATGAATTATTACGGGCAAGGTGACCGCGAACTGCTAGGAAATGCAACTATGGTCGGAGACCACACTCTCGTTTGCCAAACCAAGGGATACATTATAGGCTACTCAAGTAGCGCTCTTGGTTAAGGCAATCGATGGTTGACTTATTCTCTCACTCAACCCAATGGTTGGTCGACTTAAAAGCGCTTAACCAAATTGCTTAATTCAACATAGTGGTTTGCCCTACATTAACCTAGATAGGTGGCTTAAAAAGCCCAAGGAATCACAAATCAATTGAGCCTCCCTTGAAAGGGGGTTTTCCTTCTCATCTATGTTAGAATGGCCAATTGGATTGCTAAGCACAAACATGCACAATCAACATGAAAAATAACTCAACCATTGAATTAAACGACACCCATAAACAATCATTCAATTCACCCAACAACTACATGGCAAATAGTTAGGGTTTCACAAAACCCAAGTGAAAAAGAGTACCACTCCATGCTAGGAAGGGGAAGAACACAAGAGGAAGAGGCAGAAACCATCATGGTGATGCTTCCAATCTCTTTTGAGCTTATGTTGATCTTCTCTTGGAGAGAATCTTCCCAATCCACCACTTAGAGAAAACCCTAGCCTTCTTTCTTCCTTGGTTCGTCCTTTCTCTCTCTAAAATCTGAAGAAGACACTTTCTCACACTTTGGGCTCTCCCTTCTATCTTCCTTTCAGCTCACATTAAATACCAGGATCGGGCCAAGTTTATGGACGTGAACTCTTCAACGCGTCCGTGAATACAGAGCGCGATATCGAAACACACCGCTTCAACATCAGGAGTTCACGGTTTGGCCTCAATCTTCACGGTCTTGTTGACCGTGAACTCGTCTCGTAGTAGTAATTGTTGATTTCTCCCTGGAGGC